CTTTCCCTGTCACCTGCGACATAGCCTCCCACGCTGAGGAGCGACTTGGCCAGCATGGAAGTCCATGCAGGGGATATGACCTTCCAGGTATGGGGGATGGGAAAAGGAAAGGCGGTAGGGGGCTGGGGGCTGGCAGATAGCCTTTTTGCCCATCAGGGAACAAAATCTGGCCAAGAAGGGCCTTGTTGGAATATTCCTCCTCTGATGTATAAGATGGAGCCAGAAGTCTCTGCCTCCCAGGACCACATGGTGGCTGGAGAAGGGGTGATGAAGGTCCACATGAAGATACTTCACCCTTGGTACTTCCTCTATCTGTAGAAGAGAGAAGCCAACCAGTAGCGTAAGGTGCTTCACCCAGGTTCATCCCCATCCCAGATTAACCATGTGTCTGAAGTATGTGCCTGCGAGTCCCTGCACCCACCCTGCTGGTCCCTTATTGCATTTCCTTGGTCCCCTCTGATGGTTCAGAGGCTCAGAGAGAGGGAGGATCCTGGGCCCTGTAACCTCTTTGCCAAGGAAGAAGGCGGTGGATACCCCAGATCTGCTGCAGGTTCACAGTAGAATCTCAGCAAAGTGTGTTGAGCACACTTCACACAACTTCCTCCCAGGACTTTGGGGCTGGGAGTGGAGGTTCTGCATGGGAGAAGTTTTAGGAGAGGCAACGCATGGATAAGAGTGTGGGCTCTAGAGCCAGGCAACCTGACATGAGTCACAACAGTGTCATTGATTACCATGTGACGTTGGCTGAGTTGCTTTGGCTCTCTGGACCTCCCTTTCCTCGTCTGTAAAGTGGGCTACTAATCATATCTCCCTCGTATGATTATGTGTCATTTATGTAAAGCACACAGAGCATGTGCTGTGTGTGTGCTGGGCACTGGCCGGAGCCCATTGTGCTCCGAGGGGCCACAGCCAGGCTGGGAAGGGCTGGCCCAGGGTAGGGATGTGCATGAGAAGTGAGGCAGCTGACTTCCCGCTCCTCCCTCCCCCCATGCTCCCATCTGCCCTGATCAGAATTGCAAATGCCTTTCCCTTCTTCACCACCTCAGTTCCAGCTGGAGACAGCTGAGTCCAGGGAAGCTGCCACCCTGTCCCTGTAGGGTGCCTGCCTGTAACCCTGCTCTGTCTCAAAGGGTCTGCAGGCGGAGCCCTCAGACCAGGGCCCTTTCCAGCATCCTGAGAAAGAGGAAGCAAGGCCCAGCTGGGAATGCCCAGACCAACGTTCAAGGCCTTCGTGACCTTTTTTCCCTACCCCTGTGAGCAAACTGTGCCCACCCCTCCCCAACCCTTCTCCACAGGCCCAGCCTAAGTCCTACACTGGGGAGAGTAGTGGAGATCCTTGTGGAGTGCCCCCAGGCCCTCACAGCGCTCACTGATGCCAGGTTCCAACTGTGAGAAACAGGTGTGTGCATTTAAGTCACCCCGTCCAGCGATGTGACAGCAAGCCAAACTGACCAGGACATGGGTGACAGGAGCCAGGTGATTCGTGGGTCACCACTTGGAAGAAGTGAGCCTGCAACCAGGAGCACCCATGTTTGAGCATTGCATAAGCAAGAAGGATGCCTTTTGGAGGGGGGAAGAGGGATGACATCTTTATTATAGTAGCCAGTCTTACCTAATAAATAATACATCCCTGGTGCATAAATGGCCCCTCTACCTAGAGAATAAAGCCCAGTCTCCTTACTGCAAACCCTCAGGCCTTTTTCAGTCTGGTTCCACCATCCTCCCACTGTCCCAACACCTTTAAAAAGAATATTTATTCAGTCAAAGAGCCTCACTTCCCAACACAGTGTGTTCATCATACCTGTGGGTATTTATACTGTTTGAGACATCATCCTCTTCTCTCTTTAGAAAGCTCCTATACATCCTTCAAGACCCATTTGCTATATTACGTCCTCATTGAAATCTTCCGTGATGGTGTATTAGAGGAAGTTGCACCCACAGAAATATCCACAGCTGCACTTTTCAGAGTGCATTTAGTTATTCATTTCTGTATCAAATTTTATTTATTTGTTTATTTGTTGAGAGATTTTTGCTATAGAGTGCTCACCAGAGAGACAGAGAAACAGAAAGCAAGAAATCACACCCTAGGGAAGACAGCCATACTGGAATCCCTTCTCCTCCATTCTCCTCTTGGGATTTTGGGCACACACACATGCACACAAGTACACAGCATGAATTTCAAGCCACTGAGTCTGGGACTTGAACCGTGGTCAACCACGTGAGAATCCAGCGCCTTAACCACTACACCAACTGCTGGCATGCTGTATCCAATTTCCTGATCAGACTATGGACTCCTTCAGGGTTGGACTTGTGTCCCATCCATTTTCATATCACCAGGGCCTCCTAAGATGCTCACAACGTGGA